AAAAAAAAAAAAAAAAAAAGATTATACTAGAGCTGAAAAGTTTCTGTTGCCTAGTATTTACTATACTGTACTTTTAACCATTATTGTAGGGTTTCCTTGTACTAATTTTTTAAAAATTAACTGTAAAACAACCTCAGGCAGATCCCTCAGGAGTTATTCCAGAAGAAAACATTGTTATCATAGATGATAGCTCCATGGGTATTATTTCCTCTGAAGACCTTCCAGTGGGACAAGATGTGACAGTGATATTGATGATCCTGACTCTGTGTAGGCCTAAGCTAATGTGTGTGTTTGTGTCTTAGTTTTTAACAAAAAAGTTTAAAGACTTTTTTTAAAAATTTAAATATAGAAGCTTATAAAATAAGGATGTAAGTAAAGAAACATTTTCGTACATCTGTACAGCATGTTTGTATTTTAAGCTGTTATGACAAAAGAGTCAAAATGTTTAAAAATTTTCAAAACTTATAAGATAAAATGTTACCATAAGTTAAAGTTAATTGAAGAAAGAAAAAAATATTAAATTTAATGTAACCTAAACACTAAGTATATAGTGTTTATAAAGTCTGCAGTAATGTCCTTGGCTTCTACATTTACTCACCACTCACTCACGCAGAGCAACTTCCATTCATGGTAAGTGCCCTTTATATGTGTACCGCTTTTTATCTTTCATACCATATTTTTACTGTACATTTTCTGTATTTAAATACACAAATACCATTGTAGTCGCATTGCCTACAGTATTCAGTACAGTAACTCCATAGTCTAGGAGTTAGCCTAGGTGTGTAGTAGGCTCTACCATCTAGGTTTGTGTAAGTACACTCTATAATGTTAGAGTGACATTGCGACAAAATGGCCAATGAAGCATTTCTAAGGATGGGTCTCCGTTGTTAAGTGGCATACAACTGTATTAATCCTTATAGTCTGAGTGACTTTGAGCAGTTGCTGAAATTCTTTAATGCTGTTTTCCTCATCTGTAAAATGGGGATAATATGGATACTTACCTCAAAGTTATTTTGAGGAATAGAATAAGATAATAGGCCAGGTGCGGTGGCTCATGCCTGTAATCCCAGCACTTTGGGAGACTGAGGTGAAAGGATTACCTGAGCCCACAGGTTCGAGACCATCCTGGGCAACTTGGTGAGATCTCATCCCTGTGATAAATAAAAAAATTAGCTGAATATGGTAGCATGTACCTGTAGTTCTAGCTACTTGGAAGACTGAGGAGAAGGATCACCTAAGCCCAGCAGGTCGAGGCTGTGGTAGCCATGAGCATGGCTCTGCACTCCAGCCTGGGCAACAGAGTGAGACTCCAACTCAAAAAAAAAAGGTAACATATATATAAAATACTTGTTAACATAGTAGCTGACACATAGTAAACATTAAAAAATGTTAACTGCAATTAATGTTGTTGTTATTATTACAGCTTTTAAAATAATTAGATAGCAATATGGGGGGCAGGTTAGCTTAGGAATGACCCAGATATTTCACCAGTATCTGTTAACAGGGTTGGAACACTAGTTGTGTATCATGATCACTAACAAGGTATCACTAATCGCTTATTAATAATAAATTATTGAATATGTGAATGATTTATTCTTCTAATGAACTAGAGCAGACTTCAAGGAATTGCAGAGCCGAGGATAAGCCTGTGAGGTTGTTATACTGTTTATATATCATATAGATCCATGTGGAAAAGTTGAATTAAGCACTGTTACATAATATCATCACAAAAACTGAATTTTAGGAATGATAAAGAGTTACATATAGAAATCAAATCACGGGATCTGGTGCGGAGAGCCCCTCCTCCCAGGACACTGGGTGAGGCCGGAAAGGCAGCCACCCCCTCACCCATCATGCACCATAACGTTCAAGGGGAACCTGATACTAAACCATTCATAGAGGACCTGCTTCTGGGTCAGGTTTCATGTGTAGCGGAGCAGCTCCCTCTCTGTAGTCTAATAAAAGTCAGCCCTCGCACTTTGGAAGGCTGAGGCAAGTGGATTGCCTGAGCCCAAGGATTTGAGACCAGCCCAGACACCTTGGTGAGACCTGGTCTCCATCAACAAATAAAAAAAAATTAGCCGGGCGTTGTAGCATGCCTGTTGTTCCAGCTGTTTGGAGGACTGAGGTGAAAGATTCACCAGAGCCCCATCAGGTCAACATTGGGGAGTGGCTAGGAGTGTGCCACTGCTCTCCAGCCTGGGCGGCAGAGTGAGACTCCAACTCAAAAAAAAAAAAGTCAGCCCTCAACACATAGGTTTGTAAAAAGCCAAAAAAAATCAAATTATTAAAAAGTTAGTATAGAATAGAATAGAGTATCACCTATTACCCAGGGACAATAAATTTTTCATGATTAAAATTAAACTTTTTCTGACTTTTTTTTTTTGAGTTGGAGTCTCACTCTGTCGCCCAGACTGGAATGCAGTAGCTGCTCCCAGCCACTGCAGCCTCGACCTGCTGGGCTCCGGCGATCCTTCCGCCTCAGCCTTCCATGTAGCTGGAACTACAGGCGCGCGCTACCACACCCGGCTCATTTTTTTATTTATTTTATAGATGAGGTCTCACCAAGTTGCCCAGGCGGGTCTCAAACCTGCAGGCTCAGGCAATCCACTCACCTCAGCCTCCCAAGGCACAGGATTACAGGCTGAGCCACCGAGCCCGGCTCCTTTTCTGACTTTAAAGGAAAAGTTCAGATCTGTATCATATAAAGAATGTAAACTTTCTGGGTAATAAAATTAAAATACAGAGAAAAGATGAAATACAAAAATAATTATTGCTAAATGTGTATATATGTAAGGAACTTTTCACTGATTTTATGAACACTTTCAAAACCCTGGTGCAGTTAACTGGGAAAAAAGAAATGATTCATTCAACAAAAACTGAGTATTTCTGCTTTAGGTATTGGTGTTACAGTGATAAACAAAGAAATGTGGTTTCTGCCCTCCTAGCAAATATAAATATTTACAATTGCAGTAAGTGCTGTGGAGGAAAAGTTTGTAATAGAAAATGCAAACAGTAAACATAGGAACTTATTTAGCATCATTGATAATTTTTTATTTTTGCATAAAGGAATATAAAACTATTTATTGACCACTGCTCACCAGTATTTACAATAAAATAAACAATATACAGTTGGATAACATTCTGATTACTACAAAGTTGTTTTCCCTGGCTGCTGCTGAACCAGTAAAGCCAATACTGAAAGGACTACATGTAAGGAATGAGTTGGGGTAAAGAAAAAACATGCATGTCAGTTAGTCTAGATTACAAGTTTGTTCACCCATTTATGACAGCAGGCCCTGAACCACCAATATTTCTAAATGTCTGACTAGGCTTCCACGAGCCAAGTCTTAGACATCCCACGAATCACAACCTTTCAGTCATATAGCACACAGATTTCAACTTTTTGT